AGCGTTTCAGTGGGATGGCCGTGAGTTCTCGGCAGATCTGATAGGATTGCCGATGGCCAATTTGGAGATTATTTTGGGCATGGATTGGTTGTCCAGAAATTGTGTGATGATTGACTGTTGTGCGAAGTGAGTGGTGATGTCTCCGTGTGACTCGACATCCAGTTCCTCGCCCTATATATCATTACTGCAGGCTAGGAGAGCCTTGAGTGCAGGGGCATTCAGATATGTCATGTTGGGAGGTTTGGTGAGTGGGGCACATGAGGATATCACTGGCATTCCTGTGGTGAGGGAATTCCTCGAGGTATTTCCTGAGGAAATCCCTGAGTTTCCGCCGCAGAGGGAGATATAGTTCTCCATTGACTTATTGCCTGGTGTGGGGCCCATTTCATTGGCTCCATATCAGATGTCGCTACCAGAGTTGGCAGAGCTGAAGAAGCACATCGAGGACCTTTCGGGGAAAGACTTCATTCGACCGAGTGTGTCTCCAAGGGGAGCACCAGTCATTTTTTTGAAAAAGAAAGACGGGACTATGCGATTGTGCACCGACTACAGGCAGTTGAACAAGGTGACAATCAAGAACAAGTATCCCTTTCCGCGCATTGATGATCTGTTGGATCAACTGAAGGGTGCTTGTGTGTATTCGAAGATCGATCTCGGGTCCGGATACCATCAGATTCGGGTGAAGTCGGAGGATGTCCCGAACACCACGTTTCGTTTGAGATACGATCACTATGAGTATTTGGTGATTCCTTTTGGACTCACCAATGCACTCGCAGTGTTCATGGATTATATGAACAGAATTTTCCAGCCGTACCTGGATCAGTTTGTGATCGTCTTCATTGACGACATATTGATTTAATCCAAGATTGAGGAGGAACATGCTGTGCACTTGAGGATTGTTTTGCAAGTGCTGAAGGAGAAAAAGCTTTATGCTAAACCTTCCAAATGTGAGTTTTGGCTCAAGTCCGTAAAGTTCTTGGGACATGTGATTTCTGCAGAGGGAGTCGCAGTGGATCCTAACAAGATTGAGGTCATGCTAGATTGGGAGAGGCCCAAGACGGTAACCGAAGTGAGGAGTTTTCTGGGTTTGGCAGGGTACTACCGAAGGTTCATTAAGTGATTTTCCATGCTAGTTCTGCCATTGACTCGCCTTACCCGTAAGGAGACTCCATTTGTGTGGACTCACGAGTGTGAGGAATGTTTCTAGGAGTTAAAGGAGAGACTGACTACCGCATCTGTGTTGGTCCTTCCTGATCCTGCGGAGGAAGTTAAGTTGTACACCGACGCCTCTAGAAAGGGGCTCGGTTGTGTGTTGATGCAGTTGGGCAGGGTGATTACCTATGCTTCGAGGCAGTTGAAGCCTCATGAGGAGAACTAACCGACTCATGATTTGGAGTTGGCTGCTATTGTGTTTGCTTTCAAGATTTGGAGGCATCATCTCTATGGCATGAAGTTTGCTGTGTTCAGTGATCACAAGAGCTTGAAATATTTGTTTGATCAGAAGGAGCTGAACATGAGACAGAGGAAATGGATGGAGTATCTGAAGGACTACGACTTTGAGTTGAAGTACCATCCTGGCAAGGCCAATGTGGTAGCTGATGCTTTGAGTCAGAAATCTGTGAGTCTATCCAGTTTGACCATGGGTGATTATGATATCATCGAACAGTTTCGAGATCTGACGGTGACCTCTTTGTTTGGAGGTGCACTTCTCGAAATGGAAACCGTGCAAGTTAAGAACGAACTCATGGAGAAGATCAAAGAGGCGCAAGTGCAGAGAGAGTGCCTAGATTATGTGAAGAACCAGGACGGTGTGTCTTGGAATGAGGATGGACTATTGACCTTTCAGAAGAGGATTGTGGTTCCTCGAGGTCCGTTGACTGTTGAAGTGATGACAGAGGCTCATAAGGGCCAGTTTACTTTCCACCGAGGTGCTACCAAGATGTACAAGGATTTAAAGTGGAATTATTGGTGGCCGGGCATGAAGAAGGACATAGCTGTGTTTGTGTCTGATATGCCAGAAGGTAAAGATAGAACACCAGAAGCCGTCTGTAAACTTCAACCTCTTGAGATTCCGGAATGGAAATGGGATAGCATTTTCATGGACTTCGTGGTGGGATTGCCGAAGACTCAGGCTGGTCGTGACTCTATCTGAGTCATTGTGGACAGATTGACCAAGTCTGCCCACTTTCTTCCGGTGAAGGTGAGCTTCACTACCGAGCAGTTGGTCAGACTGTATGTTCGCGAGATTGTGAGGCTTCACGGGGTGCCCGAGAGTATCATAAGTGATAGGATCCGAAATTCACATCTCGGTTCTGGGAGGCGCTGCAGGGAGCTTTTGAGACTCAGATGAGATTGAGTACAACCTATCACCCTTAGACTGAGCGGACAATCCAGACATTGGAGGACATGTTGAGGGCTTGCACGTTAGAGCAGGGTTCAGCATGGGATAGGCACCTGCCATTGGTGGAGTTTTCATATAACAATAATTTTCATGCTAGCCTGGGCATGGCACCCTACGAGGCATTGTATGTTAAGAGGTTTCAGACTCCTACCTGTTGGTTTGAGGTTGGAGATCACGAGTTGTTTGGCTTGGACTTCGTCCAAGATACCACCCTGCAGATCCAGTTGATCAGGGAAAAGCTGAAGTAGGCGCAGAATCGCCAGAAGAGTTACTACGATGTCAAGCATCGTCCACTGGAGTTCAGTGAGGGTGAGCACGTGTTTGTGAGACTTTCACCTGTCACCGGTGTTGGTCGGGCACTCGGAGTGAGGAAGCTGAGACTGCGATTCTTTGGGCCCTACCAGATACTTGGTAGAGTAGGATCTGTTGCCTACCGGCTTGCCTTGCCTCCGAACTTGACCAACATCCACGACGTGTTTCACGTGTCTCAGCTTCGCAAGTATGTAGCGGATCCTTCGCACGTGGTGCAACCGGATGATATGGAGGTTCAGGAGAACCTAAAAACTCCCGTCGGACCACTCAAGATTCTCGATCGTGGCGAGAAGCAGCTGAGGAGCAAGATCATTCCGATGGTCAAAGTGCAGTGGACTGGGAGAACTCCTGAGGAGTGCACTTGGGAGCGAGAGGACGAGCTTCTCCGGCAGTATCCCGACTTCCGAGACATGTATGTTTCTGATTTTGAGGACAAAATCCTTAAAATGGTGGGGTAAATGTAAGAACCTGCACCGTTAATTAAGGAAGTTAATTAATTAATTATGTGAAATTAGGAAATAATTCCATAATTAACCCTAATATTTATGATAAGGCTTAAATAATATTGGTAAGTGATTAATAACGTTGAAAGTCGCTTTTCTGACGAAAAGTGCAGATACCGATTCTGCTACTCGGTATAAATGTGTACCGATGAAGTATCCCGGAAAATTATGAAAAGTGTGTATATGTCACTAGAATAATATATAGGACTTGTAAAACAAGTTTCAAGTTAAAATAATGAGAACTGGTTCCAGAACTGATACTGGTTATGGAAAGGCGCGTACCGGAAAGGTGTTGCGAAAAATAAAATAAAAATATGACAAATCTTAGAAAAATGAGTAGGTTCAAAATCCTAAGTTTGGGATTAAAATGCTAAGCGTAGCTATTAGTTCTAATACAGTGTGTTTTAACTTAAACCGCATATATATATATATATATATATATATATATATATATATATTGTCCCAAAACCCTAGGCCATACAATATCCTACGTAAGACTTGGAGGCTGATCAGTCTTGACACTATTCCATTGCCCTTCTTCCCCTTCTTTGTGAGCCTAGAGGCCATTTTCTTCTTGGAACCTTCATCAAAGCACCTTGAGGGAGAGTAGAATAGCATTGAGAGTGAGTGATACCTCCATTTCTGAACTTACAACTTCTGTGAGGGAGAGTTTGTGGCTGACTTGTTGGTTTGAGTGTTGGAAAACCATTGTTCCTTGCTTGTTGAGCTTCAAGGAGCCACCTTTGGTGAGAAAGAACCTTGCTTGCTTGTCATTTTCGTGTCCTTGTGAAAACGGGACCTTGAGGGCTGATTGGTGAGCTCCATGAGCCTTTGCTACTCTGTTTGAGTCTTGGGAAAGTGTCACCAACCCTTGAGCATGAGTTTTAATGGATAAAAATGGAACCTTGATGCATGTATTGAATTAAAGTTGATAACTTAAAGTTGGGTAAGGTTAAACACACCTAGAAATGCATTGCTCCTATTGGCTAACTGGACAACAACACCAGTAGCACGCAAAGGGCCAAGACCAAGGGACTTATAAACAGACTCAGGCATGACATTAATGGAAGCACCTAAATCTAGCATGCAATCATCAAATATAGAACTTCCAATAATGCAGGGAATAGTAAATGTACCTGGATCTTTGTATTTCTCAGGCATGGGTTGGATGAGGGCTGATACATTGCGGCTCACGCTAACTAGCTCGTCCCCCTTTAGCCGCCTCTTATTGATGCATAATTCTCTTAAGAATTTGGCATATTTTGGAATCTGCTTGATCGCATCTAAAAGAGGAATGTTAACTTCAACCTTCCTGAATGTGTCTAGCATCTCCTTCTCTTGTGCTATTTCTGCCAATTTCCTGGAATTGATGACACTTTGAGGGAAGGGAAGCGGAACGGAGAACTCAGGTTCATTGTCAAATTTTCGCTTCTCTTGCGCTGTCTTATTTTTTCCAATGCTAGTTCATCCTCAACTGTAGCTTGCTGGGGCTCATTCAGTTGTTTGCCTGACCTCAGAGATATAGCGCTGACATTTGCATTCCCTTTTGGATTTGGAACTGTTTGCGAAGGAAGAAAACTGCTGGAACTTTGAGGTTGAACCTGACTCATTGATGTTGCCAACTGCCCAATCTGTGTTTGGAGGTTCTGAATTATAGATTCGGTCCGCTGCTGGAATTGCAAGTTACTCGTCGCCATCTGTTTCACCAAATCTTATAGTGAAGGACCGCAGTTGTTCTGCTGTTGGGCTAGTGGCTCCTGTTGCAATTGATGTGGAGGTGCAGCCTACTGGAAATTTTGCCTCTGCTGATAAGGAGGAAGGCTCTGCTGGTTCAGGTTCTGATTCGACTTCAAGTTGGGATGATCCTTCCAGCCAGGATTGTAAGTATTGGAGAAGGGATTGCATTGCTGCTGCTGATACTGCGATTTTCCAGGAAAAACTCCTACTGCAGCTACTGCCTGGTCAACTAGAGGGATGTTATCATGAAAGGAAGGGCAGCCATCTGTGGGATGAAGAGGATTACAGCAGATGCCACACGGGTTGCTCATCTGTGGAGTGGGAGGCTGCACTATCTGTGTTACTGCCAATTGTCTCACCAGCGAGTTTAACTTATCAAGCTTATTTTCAATTCTTTGATTGTCCATGCTTGATGCTACTGTAGGAGCTGCTGAAGATTGGACTATGGATGCTTGCACTTGGAACACCGCACTGCTGTTCACTCTGGTGCCAAATTGCTGAGTATTGGCTGCCATCTCTGCAATCAATTCTTTTGCAGCAACAGGTGTTTTATTGACGAGGACTCCACCACTAGCTGCATCTAAAAGATTTCTGTCCATGGGAAGCAACCCTTCATAGAAGTACACAATCAACAGTTGATCTGGGATTTGATGGTGCGGGCAGCTTGCACACAACCTCTTGAATCGCTCCCAGTACTCATGCAAGTTCTCCCCATTTGCTTGCCTTATGCCACTTATTTCCTTTCTGATCGAAGTGGCTCTTGAAGATGGGAAGAATTTTTCCAGGAAGAGTCTGGCCATATCATTCCAGCTTCCAATGGAGGATGACTGCAGGTAGTAAAACCAATCCTTAGGTCCACCATCTAAAGAAAATGGAAAAGCCCTCAACTTGATTTGCTCTTCATCTACTCCTTGTGGCTTCATAGTACTGCATACCACATGGAACTCCTTCAGATGCTTATGAGGATCCTCACCTGCAAGACCATGGAACTTTGGCAGCAAATGAATCAAACCAGATTTTAATTCAAATGCAACATTTAAATCAGGATAACGAATACATAATGGCTGATAATTTTCAACATCAGGTTCAGCCAATTGTTTCAAACTTCTGTTATCCATGATTTCAGAATTAACTAGACAATCACTTGAAGAGGTAAAATCTACTCTATTAAAAGAACTAGAACAATTAAAATCAGTATGCTCAGAAATAGGATCCAATTTAGTAATTCTACTATAAGTCAACCTACGAGCTCTTCTAGCAGCATGCAATGTTCTCTCTATTTCAGGATCAAATGCAAACAGATCATTAACATTGATATTACTCCTAGTCATGCATCATAGGCGCAGGCAGAAAGCAAGAATTGATACTGAACATACGAAAACACACGAAACTTATGAAAAATAATAAAAATAAATACAGAAACAATATCAAACGATTTTTAAAAATTATGAGACCACCACACAAATTTTTTAATTGATCCTAGGAACTTAGAAATCAAATAATTTTTTTCAAAAATTAAAATAAAATAGTAAATGAACGAATTTGGCGAAATCAAGGCCTAAATCGTGGGGCATAGCCCCACGAGTTTTTACAGGGATGATCATCTTCTTCATTTCACCAATTTTCAGAGCGATCAGAGCAAGTTGAACAATAGCAAAAATACCCGATACGTCCTGAAATTTCAAATAAACAGCAAAACGGGTTAGCAGACGATAGAATTTGGCAAAATTAAGGGTCACCTCACACCATTTTGGGGTGTGATTTATGCTCAGTTGGGAATAGAACTCCCGGAACCAATCTCTCAAACTGGAGTTTTACCGATTTCCCAAATTTGCCCAAAATTGCCTAAAACGTAATCCGTAATGCAAAAAATTCACAAACTGAGAAAAGATGCCTCTCTAGAATCAAATTCCGATGCAGAATCAAAGGTGCAGAAATCGGAATAAGAAACGCAAACAAGTGCAAAACGCAAAATAAGACAGGTGTGCAAATAGAAATTTACGATTTTTTTTTTCAGAAACAGAAACGAAAACTAGAGAAGAAGAAGAAGATGATCAAATTCAGAAAATGATTTAGACCGATGCAATTTCCCCGGCAACGGCGCCAAATTTGACACGAGCTGTCGAACTCGTGCAAATTAAAAATTATTTTTTATTAGGGTTCAGAAAATTTGTAGTAGAGTGGAAACCCTAAGTCGTCTCTCTCAAGGAAATTGCTTGGGTAAAAATCGTTTATCAAAACACGTCAATGGGGTAACAGAAGAAGGTCCTCAAGACATGTCAATCCAGAACGTTTAAATATTTTTTCTTCATGTTTTAGAAATTTGTCTGTATATGGGTTTTCCCATGAATATATTTCCTAATTAATTTCGTATGTTTTATCATCTTTGAACTTAAGCTTTCATTTCCTAAAGTATTTATCACAAGGTATATTATGTCGCTATCTATTATGTCGCTATTTGACATATGAGTTCATTCCTGTTTTATGATTTCGGAATAAGGATAGGCCAACATGTAGGATGATTTTTAATCAACCTTGGTTTATAGGATAACATCTAATGAAACTTTAAATAGCTTCAATGTCCTAATAGGAGTACCATATTTAAACAGTATACATTCATCGTACCTTTTGTTATATGAAGTTTTATCATAGTCATGAGAGGTTGCTCCATCGTCGTCTTTGGAAGGTTATAACCTTTGGGGTTTGTTACCCTCCTCGTGCTTCTTCTCTTCCTTTCCTTGATCTTCTTTAATTTTTCTTGGCCTTCATCGCGATTCGTGGAAGTTTTAACCAGTCAAGACTTTACCTTCCTTTATCTTGGTGGATGTTTTAACCAGTTAAGGTTTTACCTTCCTTAATATTCATCGCGCTTCATGGAAGTTTTAACCAGTTAAGGTTTTACCTTCCTTCATCTTCTTCGTGCATCATGGAAGTTTTAACAGTTAAGGTTTTACCTTCCTTTATCTTCATGGAAGTTTTAACCAGTTAAGACTTTACCTTCCTTCATATTCATCGCGTTTCATGGAAGCTTTAACCAGTTAAGATTTTACCTTCCTTCATCTTCATCGCGCTTCATGGAAGTTTTAACCAGTTAATCTTTTACCTTCCTTTATCTTCATGGAAGTTTTAACCAGTTAAAGATTTAACTTTCTTTATCTTGGTGGAAGTTTTAACCAGTTAAGGTTTTACCTTCCTTCATCTTCATCCCGCTTCATGGAAGTTTTAACTAGTTAAGGTTTTACCTTCCTTCATCTTCATCGCGCTTCATGGAGGTTTTAACCAGTTAAGGTTTTACCTTCCTTCATCTTCATCGTGCTTCATGGAAGTTTTAATCAGCTAAGGTTTTTCCTTCCTTTTATGCGCGATAGGTAGTTTGAACACATATTGAAATAAACCTGCAAGCTTTATTTACGCAAAGTGATGAATATAATACATATAATAACTCAAAAAGAACTTAACTATATATATTTTAGAGTTTATCTGCGTTCCATGTGCGTGGAATTATGAGTCCAGATAATGTCTCAATGATATATGAGCCTGTTTCGATCTTGCTTTGGACGCGATATGGCCCTTTCCAATTTGCAGCCAATTTACCTTGTCGCGCATTTTTATTGTCAATATCTGCTCTCCGCAAGACTAATTCTCCCACATTGAAAATTCGTTTTATGACCTTCAAATTATAGTGCGCTGCTATTCTCTGTTTTAAAGCGGCTTCTTTAATATGTGCAATCTTGCGCATTTCATTGATTGTGTCAAAGTTAGGTAACAATGCCTGAGAATTGCTTTCCTCAGTCGCATACATCTTTCTCCAAGATGGCTCTCCAATTTTGACTGGAATCATTGCTTCACTTCCATATGTCATGCGAAATGGAGTTTCTCTGGTGGTTGAATGAGGAGTAGTTATGTAACCCCATAATACATAATCCAAATGCTCTGGCCAATCTCCTTTTGCTGCCTCCAACCTTATTTCCAACCCTCGTTTTAAAACTCTATTTGCGGCTTCAGCTAGGTCGTTGGTTTGTGGATGTTCAATAGAGGTGTACCTGTGCTTGATTTGTAAATCTAGAAGCACTTGATTGAATTTCTTATCCACAAACTGTGTTCCATTGTATGTAATAATGGTATGAAGGACACAAAATCTGCATATGATAATGCAATAAAAGAATCTGTGGATCTTGCTAGCTGATATAGTGGCTACAGCCTCAACCTCAATTCATTTAGTAAAATAATCAATTGCGACTATCAACCACTTCACTCTTCCTGTTGCAATTGGAAACGGTCCTAATAAATCCATACCCCATTGGTAAAATGACTGTTGTCAGATTTAGCAAGTGCACTAGTCAAACAAGTAATAAAATGATGAGTAAAGATCGTTCTCACGAGGAATTGTGTCAAGCATTGACTAACCAAATGTTGTTAAGTTGAATCAACCAAAAGATTATAAATTGCATTTATTTCTTGTCACCAGAAATTTAGTTTGAATAAAATTAAAGAATTGATAAACAGATAAAGTGTGAATATAATTTAAAGCAAATAGTCAGATGTCAATTTCTCTCAAGAATGAATTTGTGGATGAATCAATTTCCATGATGAATATCTACTATGTGATGCTGATCAACCTTTTTCTTATCATCTCAAGATGTAATGTCTTACTACCCTGATAGACACATTAATCAGAAACCCCAATGTCTTGGTGATCCCTTTCTTAATACATGCATTAATCACTAAGGTCTTAAGACCACATCAGAATCCTAGCATCAATGTCTTGACTACTAGAACACTAATGATGAAGTTGTCAAAAATAGAGAAACAATGTAAACATGTATGTTCTACACTATTTATCAACGTGAAGAATTAATCAAGACAACTTCATACAATCACATAATAGATAAACAAAACATCTAATTAACCATTCATAAATTCAAACTTGAGTTCCATTGAATCAGACTACAAGGGACTCTACTCAGACATAATACAAAGAACAACAAGAGAAGAAAGAACAAACTCCATTGTCATGATAGTGATTCTTCAATCTCCAAGTATAATTACACAAGATGTACTAACTAATACAAAACTACTCCTAAGAATTTGAAAAGTAAGAGAGAGAATTCAGATCAGAGGATCTGATGTAGGAGAGAGAGATATGATGGATGATATATCAGAAATGTGAAGGCCCTTGCCTTTTATAGTATTACAAATTACAACTGAAAAATAACATAGGCGCTAAAACGTTCTAGATGGTCGTTTTAGCGTCCATGTTTGACGGATGTCCAACTGCTTTCAACTAACTTGGGCGCTAAAACGTGAGTTGTTGAACGTTTTAGCGTCCATATCTGGTGAATTCTCAACTGCTTCCAACCAACTCCAACGCTAAAACGCTTGGCTTGGACATTTTAGCGTTCGAGACCAGAGTCCTTTTGCAGCAGCAGGGCGCTAAAACGTTTGGTCAGGGAGTTTTAGCGCCTAAGACCAGCAACTTTCGTCCTTAGTTTGCAGCAGTGCGCTAAAACGTTCTATGTTGGACGTTTTAGCGCTCGGCACCAGCAACTTTTGCCTTCAAATTGTAGCAGTGCGCTAAAACGGTATGTGAGGACGTTTTAGCGCTCAACACTTAAGCATTCTCCCTTTCTCCAGAATCTTCTTCTTCTCTCTGCTGCTCCTTGAGCTTCATTTCCCTACAAAATAGTGTAGATTTTCAACAAAACTTTCAGAACTTACATTTGAGGGCTTTCTAGGACTTTAACCTCTTTTTCATCCAATTAATCACACAAATTAATACAAATTCATGCTGAAAAACCTGATGAACTAGGGGTTTATCACAATTCCCAGATTTAGACATTGTTGTCCTCAGGAATGAACTTGCAACAGAGAAAGATTCAAGATTCTTTACAGATGAAACTCATGAGGATGGACTTAATTAACAAAAGATCACATTGACACAACTTATAACCATGCAATCTCTTATTCCTTATGACTTGCCCAACATCATATGTGGCTTTTCAACAGATCAGTAAAGATGATACACAGAGACTTTTCAAACAAAAACACCCCCTCACTAGGAACTTCTCAAAAATTGTGAGAATTTTACTCTCTTGCACACTAGTGTTTAAGGATGTACTTATCACTCACTCTTCTCTGCACTCAAACTGCCATAAGCTTGCCCATCTTCTCACTATTCATAGTAACAATGATCCATAAGGTAGATCAAAAAGGTTTTGGTATGATTAGCTATGAGGCTTGGTGTGTGGCTTGACTAGAGATAAGGATTTCTATGAAAGGGGAAGTTCAGATCAAATGAATCAGATTCAGATAAGAGGGAATTCACAGTAAT